ATGTCACTTGGGGTGACATCACCAAGAGGAAGAAGCAACCATGCTTTGGATGTGTGGGTGCCTGGTTTGATTCCTGGTACCGCATACCCGAACCTAGCACTGTGGGGGATAGCCCTGGTAGCCCCCAAGCACCTCAGAGGGGGCCACCTGCTTGATTTATTCCTGGGGGTCCCTGAGGAGCACTGGGCTTCACCTTGGTGGTCCCCTCTGGTGCTCTCTCTGGTACCCCCTCTGAGTTATAGACTCGGCTCTAATACTAAATTGTCTGACCCAGTTAACTGAACATTACCAGGAGTGTCCTCTGGGTCACCTGAACACTACTTAGGCATCCCCTTATCCCTCCCCAACCCCCCCAACCCCCCCCCCCCCCCACACACACACACAGAAGAAGTAGAAACTGGATGTTGGGCTAGGAAGGTATGGACTGGGTCATGAAACTCTTTGTAGAGGCTGGGAGGCTTAGAACGCAGGACAATACTGTCATTTAAAATGCACCTTGTTGTAAATGGCACTGCCACTCTCCATCTCGGGCTGTTGCAGAAACTCGGCATAGGGAGGTGCTGACGAGTACTGAGTCATCCCCAGTCTGGCCTTTTGAGGGTTTGACAGACTGGGAGTTACTGGGCTTCTGGGCAGATCTGTAAGAAGCCACAGGCCTGAGTTTAATCCAGAGGTTGAGACTCCACTGAGAACAGGTTTTTATAACTAATAGTGTGTGTTGGTGCTGTGGAGAAAAGGTGACCTTGAGAATATAAAGGGCCTTTTCCCAGGTTGGGCCTGATAGGCCTTTCCCCAGCACCAGCTTCAATTCAGCTCCAGGCCAGCCGCCCTTTTCCGACCACTTCATGGTTCTGCACCCACACCCACAGTTTCTGCCTCTGCTTCCTGGGCTCTCAGATTCCTCCCTGTTTAGTCAGTGCCTTAAATCAAGCATCACGGCCACCTGAGGCTGTTCTCTACCTGGTCAGAGCAGAAGCTTCCTGATGAGGCCATCCTGGGAAGTCCCCATGTTTCCAGTCAGTGTGCCCACCTGGGAGATGATCTCACGCTGGGTCCTTCACTTCTCCAGCTAAGGGACCTGATAACCAGATACTCCTCCAGGCTCTGGGAATCTCTGCCTCCTCCGCAATAAAACAGAGTTTTATATGTATGTATGTGTGTTTTGTATATACAATGTTATGTATGATCCCAAGTACCTGGGAGGGTCAGATGATACTCAACAGAAACCTGGTGTGGGGCCAGGAATGGCAGAAGTATTCTTGGGGATTTCTTCAAGACTTTTGCATACCCAGCTTTCAACCTTGGCTGAGACTTCTCTGTGAGCCAGACATGAAGTCCTTCTGTATGGAAGGAAGGTGCCCCCTGGGGCCTTGCAGCCAGAGTCCAGGAGAGTCCTCCCAGGCAAGTCTCTATAATCTCACAGCATAATTTTCTAGGCCTTCTGGGCATCTGACAGCTCACTGGTGTTAGATGACTGGTTGTCTTAGGGCAGAATCAAGCACAGAGAGCACTTCAAGAAGCTTTTTATAACAGCCAGGCCTTTTGATGCTTTATCTCCTTGGCCATCATACTTTCTAAGGAAAATGATATCGCTTGGCCACCAGGACCCACACTGTAAATAGGTTGACCTTCAGCCCCAGAAATGTGGAAGGACAGGTCAGCTCTCCATATGTGAACAGCAGCCATGTTTTGTTCACAATCTGTGCATTATTCCTGGAAGGATTTTTTTGTTGTTGTTGTTTGTTTGTTTGTCTGTTTCTTCTCTTTTTGAGCCCATTGTCTTCTTCACTACCAAGTCACAGCAAACTCTACAGGATTTCGATCTGTAATGGGGGTGCGTCATGCAGGAATGTGCTGGTGCCCTTCCGGTTCTAGGCACAGGCTGGCACTGCCTTAGCCGAGAGAAGTCAGCAGAGCTTGGGCCTCAGCCGTCCTTGACCCAGTGGCACCTTCATCAGTGTTTTGTATCTGTGAGGCCTCTCCCTCAGAGGAACCTTGGAGGAACTTGCTCTCCACTTGAGTGTGAGACAGATCTCGGCCTCATCCTGAGGACAGCCTGACCCTCTTGCTGGCATTTGGCTAATGTGGGAGGGGGAAAGAAATGTGAGATGAGGGGATTGTGCAGCTGGCCTGAGTCTGGCCCAGGGAGGATGTGACTTGGGTTCCATGTAGCTTCAGTACTCTAGTCTGGCTCCGGACCTGCTTACTGGCTGGGATATTTCCCGCCTCAGAGAATCCTGAGTGTTCGGAGGTGGTTGCTCCTCCAAGTCTCCAAGATGCCAGTGAAATTCCGAGTCTTCACTTTCTGCTTCTAACGCTTTGCTTAGTGCTCACTTCCGGCTCCCTCTAAGTATTGCATCTTGAACCCAGTGAGAGTGGGTAGTGTGCTTAGGGTGGGGGAGAGCCGGACATATTTTCAGTGGGTTTCAAGGTCAGGGGAGATAGTTTGTCACTGATTATTTTCTTTACTTGTGCTTCCATATCCTTCTGCCCCCTGCCAAGACCTCCTTTTGTTTTTTTTTCTTTCCAAAATTTTATTTTGTGGGCTGGAGCGATGGTACAGCGGGTAGGACATTTGCCTTGCATGCAGCCGACCTGGGTTCGATTCCCAGCATCCCATATGGTCCCCCAAGCACCGCCAGGAGTAATTCCTGAGCACATGAGCCAGGAATAACTCCTGAGCATCATCAGGTGTGACCCCAAAAGAAAAAAACAAAACGAACCAAAACAAAAAAAAACCCCAAAATTTTATTTTGATAAATACCATGAATTTTAATTTTAGGTAAAGGTAAAGGCCCTCCCGTTGTTCATCGATTCGATATGCCAACACAGTAACAACAAAATCTCCAATGGAGACATTACTGGGCCCGCTCATTTTAATTTTATTTTTTAAAAATTTTATAAAGTAGTTCACAATATTTGATTACATTTAATAGTCAAACACCAATCCCACCACCATTACACCTTCCCACTACCATATTACGGATGTTTCCATTCCGAACCCCAACCCCTGCCCCAAAGCAGAACCAAAATAGTTTATTTTGTACTGTTTGTTATGGAAAAAAAATGCTGAAAATGCTGCAAAAAAGAGTGTATTGTTGTATTTCACCCAGAGGCTATTCAGCCCGATTTTTTATATTCATATTTATATAATATTTATCATAAGAGATCACTAACATGTTGTTAAAGGTTGAGCCTTGTGTGCTTATATATATATCTCTGTAAAAAAATATTTCTCTCGAAGATTGGTTGCCTCCTACTTTAAATCCCATCAAATGTGGTGACAGGCACCTTTTAAATCTGGTTATTAAAACTTGGGTCTCAAGATTGCATTGTTGTTGACTCTGTGGTTTGAATACTTAGCTCTATTACCCCTTGACACCACTCATTATTAAACACAAACGAGATAAGATGTGGGGAAGCCTCTGATGTCCCTGTTTTTCTGCACCTTCTTCCTGGGGGTGAATGGTCCTGGGATCACTGAGCTGCTGCCTGTGTTTGGACAGAGGAGCCGCTTCTCCCTGCCCTGCCTGCCTGGGTTCGTTCTCCAGGGACTCCCTGCGCTGGGTCCTTCCAGGGTGCTCTGCACTCACTCCCAGCATGGATCACCCAGGACCCACTTCTGCCACTGGCAACCTCTGTTTTTTGTGTATTGAGGCTGGGCCACCTTTTTTTTCTTTTTTCATCTGAGGCGCCTCTCGTGGCTTAGGGGTATCTCTTAGCTGATCCACACTTCCTTGTGTTGTTGTGCATTTTATTTGTCTTGGAGTGTTTTTCACTTCGTTCTCCTCTGGAGAGGTGCTTGAGGTTCAGTCACATGCTCTGTCCTTCACCTGGATCCAGGTGCTTGTTTTGCTTCCTGCTTTAAGGCTGGCCACCATACTGCCACCACTGGTCATAAGATGGTCCCAGTGCTCACAACTTTTTGATTTTGTTTTTGATTCTGTTGAAAACTCCTTTCTAGAATGAAAGATCAGCTTAATGCTCCTGCCTGTTCAGTTGTGTGCTGTGCGCACTGTGGTTTATTCATGATTGACAAAGACCAGTGTGTCTGGCTAGCCAGCGGCCATCAGAGGTACTCACTGCTTTCTGTGAAATCGGCTGACACAGAGACTCGTGTTAAGAATTAGTTGGTGATGGTCAGTATTCCACCATTAGTATTGACTTCATTTATTCTTCCTGGAGTGGAGAAGTTGTATAAGATGCTTCCTTGTCCTGAGTATGTGTGCCCTGTAGTTGTATTTGAATCTGATTTAAATGCCTCATTTAATTTGCTGTGTATGGATTTTTAAGCATTAGAAGGGGAGGTGGGTTATTATTTAAAATACCCAGAAGACAGAACTTGATATGCTGTAGGTGAAGTTTGTACAAAATGCTCTGTAAATGTAGAAATATAGATTAATTCCATTCTGTTTCCCTGCTGGTATGCCAGGGAAAGGTGGGACACATATGCCTTGATGGAGGGGCACCTATTGGATTAATGAAGCCCCAGAAGAATATAGTTTTGCCAAGGCAAGAGAACAGCAGTTGTGCGTAAATCAATGGAAGGAGTTGTGGACAGATGAAGAGTTGAATGAATGAAGCTAGCGAATAGGAAACCCTGTGTAGGGGAAGGATGAAAGAGCAACAAGAAGCAGGCACACTGCTGGAATAGAACAGGTTTGGCTAAGTGTGTTGAAAGAAGCTGTCTAGAGAAAGGGTCGCGAAGAAAGTCAGCCCAGAGAATGGGAGCACAAGAATTTTGTCTTCACACAAAATGGACAGGTAGTGCAAATAGCAACACTGAGTTATTTGAACATGTTTTGGCACTGCAAGTGCAGAATTTTAAGTTCCGAGAAGAGAATTTAATTGGAAAAGACCCAGGAGAGGGCTTCCTTGCACCTCTCTGGGAGATGGGTAAGTAGCCAAAGGTGCCTCTGGGAGGCCCGATGGTGAGTTAACTGGCAGCCGCCAGGAAGTAGCCAGTGCCAGGCGCTCACACTCTCTCCTCTTCCCTCTAGACGTGTGCAACAGCACCGATCTTCCGGAAGTCGAGATCATTAGCCTCCTGGAGGAGCAGCTTCCCCATTATAAGCTAAGAGCCGATACCATCTACGGTTATGACCACGACGACTGGCTCCACACACCCCTCATTTCTCCAGATGCCAACATCGACCTCACCACCGAGCAAATTGAAGAGACTCTGAAATACTTTCGTAAGTGAAACCCCTTTTTGATAAGGCCAGGCCCCCAGGATGGCCAGTGAGTAGCCCGGGACTCTGAGACATCCTGTCCTTCCTACCAGGTTGTCCGGTCATGGGGATGCAGTCAAGCAGTGTGGCTGCTGCTTTGGCTACCACCAAGGCCTTTTTCTTTTTGCTTTTTGGGTCACACTCGGCAATGCTCAGGGGTTACTCCTGGCTCTGCACTCAGGAATTACTCCTGGTGGTGCCTAGGGGACCATATGGGATGCTGGGAATCGAACTGGGGTCGGCCGTTTGCAAGACAAACACCCTACCTGCTGTGCTATCGCTCCAGCTCCCCAAGGGCTTAGCTTTAAGTGTTCTTTAAGAAGCCTGGGCATCTTAGGGAAAACTGTGCTTTTTTTTTTTTTATTTGAATTAGTTTTCTCAATGGCTCAGAAATTGTGGAAATATTTTCTCTTTACCTCTTTACCAAATGGATCACACAAGTGATCCTTATTGAGTAGAGCTGGTCTGCCGTGAAACCAAAGGCATTAGGAACCTGTAGGTGTTTGTAGGACATAGTGAGACGTGCCTGAGCTTCTGAAGTGTCAGGTGCCACATAGACAAGACCCCTTTGTCTACTTGTGGTGTCTGACCAACCCCAAGGAGCTGTGGGTTGACTCTGAACTTAATTATAGCACCTTATTAGACTAGATTAGATGTGACTTGGAATATCCTTGGGATATCACAGAGGCCCACGGGGGCCACATCGCATGTGGAGTGCGCAATCAGGAATCAGTACACTTCCTGTCTGGTTTCTTCAGAGTGCTTCACAGCAGACTCCAGGGCAGGACCCTGTGTGCAGGAATCTCTGAGTGCTGCTTCCCCCCCTCAGGGGAGCCCCAAGCTTCTCCAGGACACCCCATGGCCACATAGTCAAAGGAGGCGCCTAAGTCCCTAAAGGCCCTTGCCTTCACAGTGTATTTGGGACCACAGTTTATTTGGGCAGGATCTTTAGGGAATTCCAAGGAAAAGCACCTCATTCCATCCCTATATAACGTCTCCAGTTTGGGCAAGTCTAGTTTTGTAACTGAGGAAAAGGAGGCACCATGCTAAACATAGCATAACATTCTTCTCCAGCTTCTAAAATACTTTTTGGTAGGAGATTTGAACAGACAGTGTGGCTAAATTTTGCTTTCAGTTATATATACATATATATGTATATATATGTATTTTATGTATATATGTATATATATATCTCTGTATATATGTATATATACAAATATATATATATGTATATATATATTTTTTCTTTTTGGATCATACCCAGCGATGCACAGGGGTTATTCCTGGCTTATGCACTCAGGAATTATTCCTGGTGGTGCTCAGCGGACTATATGGGATGCTGGGAAATGAACCCGGCTCGGCTGCGTGCAAGGCAAATGCTCTACCCACTGTGCTAACACTCTAGCCCCCATTTCAGTTATATGTTTAAAAGAGAGGGGAAACGGTGGACAAAGCAGTGGGTAACTTAGATTTTAATAAAACCAGAGACCCGAAGTGAACCCAGGGCAAAGATTCTGAAAGTTCTCAGAGCATGGGTGCATCTCAGTCTTATATTAATTCTGGATTGTCTTCTGAGGTGCTTATGGAAAAGTAAATGTTTGGGGGCAAGGGCGTGTGTGGTCCAGGGTCAAGGGTGTGTGTGTTCCACATGCATGCCTTCCTTGGGTGTGTGAGGGCTTGGATTTGAACTTGGATACTATAAAAAAATTAATAATGAATAAAATTTGGTGTTTGGTCAGGGGTTGACTCTGAACTTAATGATAGCACTTTATTATACTCAATTAGATGCGACTTTGGAATAGCCTTAGGATACCGCAGAGGCCCACAGGGGCCTCTAGCTGAGAAGTGCAACTCCAGGAAAAGGCTTTCAAACAGGGGTCCTGGGACCCCAAAAGGATCTGCAGGGAGAAATGTGGGGCTCTGGGAGTTTGGAAAGAAGGGAGGGGTGGAAAAGATATCTTTCTTTTCATTGATTTTAATTGAGAGTTCAACATTTCCTTTTAATAAGATCATAGGAAACAGAGCACAGGATATTAGTGGGCCTGTGACTCACGGTAGGACTTGTGACCTGGAGCAGGGGAGCAGCTACTTGAAGAGCTCCTGTACCCCCATGCGACCAGAGTGCTGCTGGCTCTCCAGCAGGGAGCCTGCGCCCGCCCGGCTGGGCTGGCAGAGGTGAGGACAGGCTCCAGCCCAGCCCTGCTCTGCGCACTCTGCCCTCAGTGACCTCTGTTTGGTTTGTTGATAGGAGTTGCCCGGGTGATGCCGTGACTCACCATGTTGTGGGGGGTGTGAGTGAACACCCTCCCCAGGTCTCCTCTGCTGAGGGCATTGGTTCTCAGGAGGGTGGGTCCAAGGGTCCAGGGTGCCCCTGGGGCTTTATGATCTGCTTTCGTAGGGTCCTCACCTCACCTGCACCCAGGCATATGCCATGGGCATTGGGACATGTGAAAACTCAACTCCCTGCCCTCCTCTTGCCTCTCTGGGCTGGAAAAAACTGTTTTACCCCTTAATATGGAATCTCACTCTGGCCTTCTGGGAAGAGACAAGAAAGCTGTGGGTGGGTTGGGGTGTAGCTCACTTGGGGTAGAGCACTTGCCTTATATGTTGGATCCCTAGCACTGCCAAAAAAAAAAAAAAAGAAAAGAAAAGAAAAGAAAAGAAAAGAAAAGAAAAAGAACGCTTTAGGTATCTACCCTTAGGAGGTAGTAAAATGACCTTTTCAAAGGTTTTGATGTTTCCCAGTCAGATGGGTTATTGATGACTTGAGTTTAAGAAGCAGAGAAAATTAAAAGGACCCTCAAATATGGACTCTTTGGGTTCAGTGACCCAAAAGGAAGAAAGAATGGCCAAACTTTGGTACTTACCACCTGCCAGGCATGAGTTTTTGTTTTGTGTGTGTGTGTGTGTGTGTTTGTGTGTGTGTGTGTGTGTGCGCGCGCGCGCGCGCGCGCTTGTGGTGGGGGGCAGTAACTTGGACCACACCTGGCAGTGTTCACAGGCTAATTCTTGCTCTGTGCTTGGGAGTCTCTCCTGGTGCCGCTAGGGAACTGTATGTGGTGCCAGGGATTGAACCCAGATCGACAGTCTGAGCGCCTAACCCACTATGCTATCTCTCAGGGCCCAGACAAGACTTTACTTTCCCAGACAAGGAAGCTCATTTCTTTTTTTTTTTTTTGTCACACTCGGCGATGCACAGGAGTTACTCCCGCTCATGCACTCAGGAATCACTCCTGGTGGTGCTCAGGGGACTATATGGGATGTTGGGAATCGAACCTGGGTTGGCCACGTGCTATCGATCCAGCCCCCAGGAAGCTCATTTCATGGTCGGAGTGACCTCTGAATTCAGCAGCCTTGCTGTCTGTCTCCATTATGCAGAGGAGGAGGCTGAGGCTCCATGAAGTTAAGGAATTGGGCCCAAGTCACATACCTCCTCAGAAGGGACTTGGGTGAGTTTCAAACCTTGGTCATCTGGCCTGGCTGTCATAACCCCTCATAACCCCGAGTCAAACACACAAATAATTTTGGTGTAAGAATAAGGCTCTTTTGCTAATGAAGGATGAAAAGGGAGGCCATCAGCTTCAGAATGTGTCAGTAGTTCATTCATAAAATAAATGTCCAACACGTTGTATGTCCGCTAATTTTTCCACTTGATGTCACTGACCCATACAAAACTTAACTTGATGTAACTCAGTCTCCAGACAAAGGTTTTTTTCCTTCTCCTCTACTCCTTTTGGGATAGAGATGTCTGTGGTGGTGACACTCGGTGTGGGCTACACTTCTCTAGTCGTCTGCTTCCCTAGGCCAGGCCCTAGACACCAAGATTGCTGTCTTGGTGTGTCTTACTAGTCCTCTCTGGGGTGCCCTGTGTCATTTCAGGGTTCACGAACCCTGGTGGAGAAGAAAAATCTGCATATGAGCTGCAGACCCCCTCTGCCTCTGAGTTTCCTGGAACTATCTTTTTCCTAAGGAGAACAGAAGGTTATGAAACATAAAATACGAGTTTGCAGACATCCATCCACTATTTGCTCTTACCGAAAAGCAGCATCGATGAATCACATCTACCCAGTGAATACTTGCCAGTGCGTGTTTATTGAACACCTGTTATTCACCTGTAATCTTGTGATAGCTTGTTTTGAGTTCCAGCTGAAGTGTTTTAACTAAGAAGTGAAACTGTCTCATGCCTGGGTTTGTTGATTTTCTTTGTGACATAACTGGGACTTTGTGCTGGGCTGGGCCGCACCCTGTGCCCTGCAGCCTGCAGAATTGATCCCCAAGCTAAAGTGGAGGGAACCAGCAGAGTCTGGGAAACTGCATGTTAAACTAACACCCTGTGCCTTTATAATATGTTTTTGAAATTTAATTTGACGTCCAAATGAAAGACCACTTAATTTAATGCAACCCTAATTGTGGGGATGAGGTCTCTGGGGTCGAGGGCCAAGTGTCTTCGGATCTGCCTTGTAGATCTCACTGATCTTCAGGCAGCTCCCTGAGTTGTGTCAATAAAAGTGCAATTGACGATAGATATCACATCTGTTTCCACCTTTGCTCAGTTACTTGTCTCCACATGGCCACTGGATTTCATGGGCTTTGTAGTAGCGGGAATTTGAGTATCCCCCTCCAGACCTGTCTGGAAGAGTGGAACTCTGCCCGGGAGAAGTGTGTACACAGAGCTTGGGGGTGTAGCTGGCCACAGTGTGCTGGATTCCACTTCTCTAGTCATCTCTGGGGACCCTTCTTTCCTGTCCCATGTTTCCCTGTTGACACAGAGTTTGCTCCCTTCTGAATGCTCCCCTTCCTTGCTTCTGAATTGCCCTCCTGTCCCTCCGGTGGAGTCCTCCCAGCAGCCTTCACTGTGTGCTGCTTCTCTTTTGAGCTTCGAACTCCATGGCTTTTCCCCCCTGAAAGTCCTTAGAGCGCTGCCAATAGACCCTCCCTAGAACTTCTGCCTGAGAAGGTTCCCA